ATGTTCGACTGGCACACCAAGTGGGCTTTCCGGCTCAATGACAGCACCGGCAAAATCTACAAGATTGATGAAATGATCATGGGTGCAATTATGGACAGCCCCGACTGTATCGCAATGCTCTACCGAGCTGGTGTACCTGGTTGGTATGTCCGACCGCCCTCAAGTATCCCACATGACATGACTATTCGTTGCATCGTCGCACCTGGTTGGGAAAAAATGCCAACGACACGCAGTCGTCAGTCAAGCAAGTGTGATCCACGTGAATTTACGGACAAAGACTACCCTGGAATGCCTTTCCCGACTGTGCTCACAGCATGCCCTTGAAGTGGAGATTATGTTATAGCCTGCCAGAACTGGCGTGAGGGGCATTTTGGTCCCACTGACGCTCAAGTCGTTGCCAAGGAGGCCCCAAGTGGTCCTGCCATGGTGGTGTCTTTTCCATCCGGTAAGTTTTTACATGCTAAGTACTTTAAAAACACGTCAACTCATATTTTTGTATAATAGCCCCATCTTCGTCCCATGGAGCCGCCATCCAAATGTCGAATAAACCTGCACAAGGCAAGTTCCCTTCTGGCCCATCTCGGCGGTTACTAATTGAATTGGTTCGTTATAGTCGGCGTAAATCTCGCCAAATTCCAGGAGCCGGATTTGGACTATGTACCACTGCAATCCGCTGCCTGGAAGAAGGCGTTAGCAGCGGTGGATACCGATTCTCGCCGCATAACCTCGAACCCCATCGGGAACAAGCTCCGCGGTTATCAATTCCCGGACCCCTTTCTCTTTATCACCGGCACAAACCATAGAAGCATGATACTGGCTTGGCTGATGATGCAAGCTCAGTGGCTTCAGTCGCTCATCAACGTCGATACCGNCCTGCATCACCCCCGCATTGGCGGAATATCTCTATGATTTCGCCAAGGAAATGCGCTTGCTCCCTCCGTTACCCTCAACGAGAAAAGTAGCCCATGGTGGGGTGCAAAAAAACAAGGGAAAAGATCAGCTTGTGACAAAGGGGACCAACTGCCGTTCTTCCAAGGCCAAGGAGGTTCAAGCTTCTATTTTCTCCAATGCAGTGTCTCTCAGCTCTCGTCCCAATGTGGTTTATTGGGGGAACGTGGCAGTCATGCAAGGGGAAAACGATGCCAGCCTCACCCCTGACATCATATCACAGGTGATTTGGAACGTGTTTGAACAGAATTTCCGCCACAAGATCCGCCAGCTCAACCGTCATCTCTTGCCTGCTGCCCACCTGATACTGCCAGTACTATGTATCAGGTATAGTCTATTGACTAAGTCTACCTATGCATCACAGCAGTCAATTGACCAACCTTCCTAATCAGGAAGGTAGCCTTGCTGAGCTCCCCAGCCTTGGTGCTCACTGATTCCCATGGCTTGCTCACTGTTTTCAGGGTCCAAAAGCGCACTTCCAAATGTGGTTGTTTTCAGGGTCCAGGGCACATTGCCAAATATGGAAATGTGTGCTTATCTAAAGGAAAAATAGCAATAAAATAGCAGAAAAATCAGAAAAAAATGGGGTTATGATGGTAGGTTGTTTTCAGGGTCCAGGGGATGTCCAAATATGGCAATCTATCCAAACATGGCCAGAAAATACCCGAAAAATCAGGAAAAATTGGGGGATGGGGTGATGATGTTAGGTTGTTTTCAGGGTCCAGGGGCTATGTCAAAATATGGTAATCTATCCAAAAATAGCCAGAAAATACCCGAAAAATCAGGAAAAATTGGAGGATGGTGATGATGATGTTGGGTTATTTTCAGGGTCCAGGGTCTATCCAAATATAGTAATCTATCTAAAAATACTCGAAAAATTAGGAAAAATTGGGGGATGGTGGTGATGATGTTGGGTTGTTTTCAGGGTTCAGGGTCTAGTTCCAAATATGGTAATCTATCCAATGATAGCTAGATAATCACCAAAAAAATCAGAAAAAAATACAAATGGTTCCCACTGTTGATGATGATGTTCAGGGTTCAGGGCAACATCCAAATAAGGAAACTTCTTTGTTTCTGATGAAAAATAACCAGAATATCAGAAAAAAGCCAGAAAAATGTAAATGGTGTAAGGGATGTCAGGCACTACTTTCAGGGTCAACTTCAGGGCCCACCCCAAAGAAAAGCTCACCTTATTTGGCCAAAAAGTGAAGAAAAACAAGATAAGAATGATTCTACCTATCAGGGTCCATCTAATGGGGTGTTGGGATGGTGGTCACATGATCAATTACCAAAAATGGTCAAAAACAAAAGTTGTAGTCCTATGCTGTAGCTGCCTGAATCTGTTTGAATTATGTTCTGAAGTGCTCCTGTTGTGGAGACATGATGTAAAAGATTTTGAAAAGCACTGCATTTTTTTTTTTTTTTGTGTTTTTCTCCATGAAAACCAAACCAAACT